ATGTGTTGTTCCTACCACATCTGATAACAAACACTTCTTCAACTACAAGTGTTTTCCTAAGGGTCTGTGGGTGCAGGTCCACACTATCCATATTTTCTGCTTGGTCTGCTGCCACAATCTATGGTGCTTATGATTATTAATGGGAACCACCCTGCAGTGTAGTAGTGATGATCTTATTAAAGTCTTAAGAAAGTAAGTGCTACCATAAAGACCGTCACCCACAAAGTAGGGACAAATGTAAGGGCCTTAATATAAGGCATAAACACACCACCAAACATAATGAAAATTATCTACACCATGGAAAATAAAGACAGGGGCCTTTTAAAACTATGACATGTATGCACACTCAAAAGAGTTCAAAGAGAACCCACCGACCGGGGAAGAAAATATTTAGTGATGATACATCAGATAAATGGCGATTCTCCAAAAGCCATAGAAAAATATAAATAATCCGATCCAAAAAAAAAAATGAGCACAAGACATGAAGAGACAATTTACCAAAGACAACATCCAGGCAGCCAGCAACTATATGAAGAAATGTCCATATTGTCCATTGGCAATAAGAAAAATATAAATTGAAATAACGAGATAACACCTCATACCCACACTTGCAGCAAAATTCAATAAACCAGAAAATAATAAATGCTGGAGAGGATGTGGAGGGATTGGAACATGTATACATTGCCTGTGGGACTGTAGACTTGTACAACCACCGTGGAAATGAGTACAGAACGTCCTCAAACAAATGAAGATACAATCACCTTATGATCCAGCAATCGCTCTACTGGGTATATGTCCTCAAAAAATAAAGAATACAACACAAACAGACACAGGCACACCTATGTGTATGATAGCAATGCACATCATGGTGAACAGCCACAGGACCGAGGAAAAGCAAACCCAAGTACATTCATACAATGGAAGATTATGCATCAATTAAAAAGTTACAACTCTCTTAAATACCACAAGACACGAAAAAAACTAGGAAACATATGCTTAGCAAAGTTAGTCGATGACGTAAAGAAATCATTATTATATTTAAAAACAAAGAAAAAGATAAGTAGTTTTTACACCAAAGGGTAAGACTACAAGGTTAGGGGTAGGGGCAGGGACAGAGAGCAAGGAGGGGTAAGAAATGATAGAGGGAGAAAACAAAAAACCCTGAAAAATTATAGAGGGAAGTGGAGAGGGTGGGAGGGAAAAAGAACAGAGAACCGGTTTATGGGGCCTCACAGCTTTGTTGAGGGGGCTGTGCAAATACAGAGAATATGCTTCTTTAAACCCAAAATAAACACAACTAAAAAGAATAATAACAAATAAATAGGAGAGTGAAGGCTTTTAGCCTTAACAACTCTCCAGGTTCCTTACCCCTCGGATCTAAATATTGGTGTGAGTGGCTAAAAGATGAGGGAAAGTAGAATGGAGGTGGACGTGGAGGCTTTACTGAATACGAGTTTATTTCAAACATATGGGAAAATAGAAGAAGAAAAAGGAGAAGAAGAAGAATGCTGAGTCTATTAAGCATCCACTCCTTCTTTCAAATTGTTACCGGCCTAATATCATGTGCATATCACATTGTGACCAACCTTACGGAGATTTTCTTTTAATGAAGCAAAAATGCCCTGCCTTCAAGAAGCTTACATTACAGTCAGAAGGACAGTCTCTGTACATGAAAGCATACTATATATGTTTCAAATGGGAGTTGAGGTACTATTTTTCCATAGACAGTACTACTTACAGAATTTAGGAATTTACACCAGGATCCAATTTATGAAAATGACAAATGTAAGCTCCTCTTTGTTCTCAACTTCAAAATTATGTCGTGTGATTTAACTACCTTACAGTGTTGTATGAATATAACAGAGGGACTATATTCCCTAACGTACAACAGAGGGAATCTGGAAAGCTAGTATTCCATGGTAGGAAAGCCATCACTTTGGTAAGTTAGAGATCAAGTCCAAGTACATTATACTGCTTTAATCACGCCCACAGAACCACAACCCCAAAATATTAATATACATTTAACTGGTTTGATCGACTTCAGTTCATAAACTCACAGTTTTCTTGAGTTGTATTTAATCAAGTTCAAACAAACAAACAAAAATGAAACTCACCGCCATCGCACCAATTCCGGCTCCTAGCGGCCCTATGGGGCAGAATAGAATTGCCCCGGGGCGTTTCTGGACTGTGGCTCTTTACGGAATAGAAAGCTCATCTTTCTCCCATGGAGTCGGCTGGTGGTTTTGAAGGGCTGACCTTGTGGTTAGCAGCCCAATTTGTAACCACCACCAGGGCTCCTCGGATTGGTTTTGTTTTTCGTGTGTGAAGTTTTGTTGGAATTGAGAGGGTTGGGAGCACTACTCCAGGGAATGTCCATTCTAATCTTCCTGGGTTGGTTTTTAAAGTGTTTTCCTTTTTCTTGGTGCTGTGCTGTTGCTCTGGCTGCTAGCAGCAGTCCCCTTGGGTCCACTGCTGATGGGCTTCTTCTTTGGAAAGAGCCTTTTTCTATTTCTCTGGGACCCTTTGCTCTTTGCTTCAGGATCAGGAGCGAGTTACTCTTTGGGGAGAGATTCACAGTTCTTCCTCCTGGAGAGAGGTGTCTCTTCGAGATCATTATTAACCAATTCCTCTTTAGTAAAGGATTTTTCTTGGGGAGAGCAGAGCTAGATGGGTCTTCCATTCCATTTTCCTGTAGGGCTCCTGTTATTTAATCACATTAGAGGGGCATAATTTAATATGTAAGATGGACTAAGGTTAATGGACTACAAATTCATTATCATAATGTGGTTGCTTATCCATGGGGGAGTTGCAGATTTTAGACCACCAGTGTGAACAGTTAAGTTCTCAACTACTAGCTTAAAGACTGGTGCTCAAACCCACCCAGAGAAGCCTCTGAAGAAAGGCTCATTGGTTTACTTGTGAACGAGAACAGTCCTGAAACCCCTGCAGAACAGTTCTACTCTGCACACAGGATGCAACTAGGAGTTGGAATCAACTCAACCGCAACGGAAGCAAACTAAGAGTTCTAGGCTTATTCTGTGAGAGTAAGAGGTAGCTACGCTGAGGTCTTCTATAGAACAGAAGAGATGGATGCACTTTCAACAACGACATTTTAGTAACCTGCCTTGAGCAGATGGGATTTGACACTCCTGGTCTTACTTGTTACTGTCCTGCTTGATTGAATGGAGGGTGAGTGGAAAAGAGGGTGATCTCAATGAGATGGAGTGACGCAGGGACTGCAACAAGGGGCCGGAGCACAACAAGAGGGTGAGGATGGTGCAGGACCAGGCGGTGTTCCGTTCTGTTGCACAGAAATCTCATACAGTAAGTCCCTTCTCTACCAAAACATAAATTACCAAACCAAACCAAGAAAACCAAACCCACTACCATTGAGTCGATTCTGACTCATAGCGACCCTGTATAGAACTTCAAGGCTGAGATAGGAATCCCAGTGAGAACAAACAGCCTTGTCTTTGTCCCTCAGGGCATCTGGTGAACTTGAACAGTACCAGCAGGACTGCTTACAGATCCCACTGCCATCTTGTAGCTTCCCACTCCTAACAACCCTCTACAGGATCTCCAGGGCTATAAATCTTGATAGGAGCAGAAAGCCTCAACTTTCTGTCAATGAGCAAAGGGTGAATTTGAACTACCAACCTTTCAGTTAGCAACTGACAGCACCACCAAGGCTCCTTTGCATATTCCCTAAACTAATCACCAAGTCAAACCCACTGCCATCCACTTGATCTGATGCACAGTGACCTTAGTTAGGCTGCATATTGTTTCAGAAGCAGAAAGCCTTATTTTGCTCTTCCAGAGTAACTGGTGGGTTTGAACTAATGACCTTGGGGTTAGCAGACCACCATTTGCCAATATAGTGTGTGTTCAACAGCTACTCTAAAGGCTGGTGATTCAAACCCACCCAGTGGTACCTCAGACAAAAATGGACCTGCTAACCAAAAGATCAGCAGTTCAAACCTAGCAGTCCTTCCTAGGGAAAAAGATGAGACTATCTGCTCCATTGAGACCCCCATATAAGGTTGCTTGATTTGGAATCTACTCCGTAGCAGTGGGGTTTGGGGCTTATAATGGTGAGGGCAGGGCTCAGCTAGCTAGCTGCAGTCAAAACAACTCATACTCAACAACAGCCTTATGTACAACAGAAGAACAAAATGTTGCCTTCATCCTCCTCTTCCTCCACCTCCTCACACTCATTGACATGTGAAAGTCCATCGATGGAGCTTTGTGACACTTCATCTCACCAAGGGGCTCTCTTGCTCTGAATCGCCCTTCATTTGACTTGACTTCACTTCATGACCTCCTCCAGTGATCGGTTCCTCCTGACGACATGTCCAAGGCTAACGAGTCTAAAAAGGCTCTGTTGTGATCTATTTGGCTTTCGTTGGCTAATTTTTGGAAGGATATCACCAGGTCTTTCATTCCTAGTCTGTCAGCCTGGGAGCTCTGCTGAAACCTGTCCACCATGGGTGCCCACCCTTTGAAAGACTGCTGGCATAGCTTCCACAGTAGGGAAAGGTGCTGGCAAGATTTAAGGGAGCCAAAACAAAGTAAAGTGTCTTGGACTGTAAGAGCTCAGAAACCCCTACCATTCTCCACCTGAAAGGCAAGGAGAAGGTGCAGTTAGTTAGTGAAGGGGACCTGGATGGGTTCGCGGTAGAGATAAGGTTGTCTTGGGACAGACTTTGTCTGTGTCTGATGCCACACCGTTGGGGGAAAAAGCACGATGACTGGCTAGCTTGATGCATAGCAAACTGTTCTAATCTTTGGCCCGTGACATCTGCACAGCACAAATAACCACCTACCCGTGTTAATCAAATGCATTCTGCCCCAAGGGCTTTAACACCGTCATGGGCATGAAACGTAGTTTCTTCTTCTTCTTTTCTTTTTTTTCTTTCTAATTTGAATAGCTCTCCCAGAGCAAAGATGAATGAGAAATCAAGCCAAGACGGATAAAGTGCATTGAAATCAGGGTACTCCAGATGTTTGCGAAGCTTTTCACAGAGGCCAGTGGAGCTGAACAAGAATCTTCAGAACCAAAACCAGTCAATGAGAAGATGATAAATTTAGAAGGGACCGTGGTGACCATCTACTTGAAGTACAAACTCTCCTACTTTTTGTTGCTGTGTTTTCACAAACTGAAAAAGTGTCAGTGACTATTTTTAATGAGATTATTTTCACACTAGGTCACCCAAAGAAAGGATGGTCACAAATACTGTATACACCACAAAATAACCCTGGCAAGAATTTATATTGAAAAACTCAGAACTAATTTCAAGTCATAGCAAGCCCTCAGACAGAGTAGGACTGCCCGATGGGTTTCTGAGGCTGTAAATCATTTACAGGAACAGACAGCCTCTCCCCAGTCAAACTTGCACAGTCGTGGGAATGTGCACGCAGATTTTCAGCAGGACTGTGTGTCCCAGGAGGGCTCGTTCTTTCTTTGGCACAGACAATTCTGTTAGGAAACAGATATTCCGGGTGAGCCGACCTATTCTGATATGAAAGGCTGTCGTTTAGCATGGAGAATCCATAGAGCGACTTTGGGGAAGCCAGTTTCAGAGCAACTGAACTAGCATGCTAAGGGCTTGATTCAGCTGAGTTAGCTAATTCACTAATGTTAGAAACGTAACTAGCACCCTCTTTACTATAATGAAAGGAGCCCAGGTGGTGTATCTATTGGGCTGCAATCCACAAGATCAGCAGTTCTAAACCATCAGTCACTCCTTGGGAGGAAACATGGGCTTTCTACTCCTGTCAAGAGTCATAGTGTCAGAAACTCACAGGCGCAGTTTTACTCTGCCCTGTAGGGTCGCTGCGACTCTACATTGATTCTGTGGCAGTGAGTTTGGTTTGGTTTATTATACTGTGTGTGCTACTGAAATTTCTAACATTAGTGAAACCACTTAGGAACCTTGGTGCCCTAGTGGTTACATGTTGGACTGCCTACTGCAAGGTCAGCAGTTCAAAACCACCAGCTGCTCCTCAGGAGAAAGATGAGGCTTTCTACTCCCATAAAGAGTTACAGTCTCAGAAACCCACTGGGGCAGTTCTACCCTGGTCCTAGAGGCTTCTTATGAGTCAGACTTTGCTTGATGTCAGTGAGATTGTTTTTTAATTATATTCAGAGGATCCCTGGTGGTGTAGCAGATTACACTTTGGGCTGTTGAATCCAAGGTCAGTAGTTGAAATCAGCAGGCGCTCTTAGGGAGAAAGATGAGACGCTCTACTCCTGTAAAGAACGAACAGTCTGGGAAACCCACTGGGGCAGTTCTGCTCTGTCCTCTAGGGTCACTATGAATCAGAATTGCCACATCGTTCCAGGCACACCCACCCATGATTTCCCTTGCCTTAAATTCTGAGGACAAGGAAGTAGTGGTACAAGGTACACTGGCTCTCCATCTCCACTGTTGTCCCTGGTCCCTATGAGACCTGTTAACTCTTTCATGACTAGGCAGTGACGCAGGGCTGTGCAAGCCAAGCTCACGGAGACTGCTCTGACTCAGAAAACCCAGTGTACACTTCCAAGTGAGCAACTTATCCTTTGTGATGAAGAAGCAGCTAAGGATCAGAAAACACATTGCCACTAGGGTCTTGGTTCCAAGTATATTGAAAATATTGACGGATGGGAAGGGGCCTCTGGCCCTGTTTCCTCCAGGGTACATTTTTGGATTGTAAAATCTGGAAGGCAATAGATCTGATATGGAAAGTTGTGAGAAATATTCTCTGTGGTCAGAATGACTGCTTCCTCTCCAGGGAGCTCATGTAGTGGTGTGCCAAGAAGGTTAAACCCCTGGCAGAGGGGCTTGAAGCTTAGCAGCTATTCAACATTGGTAAAAATCATTTGAATGCTCTCTGCCCCAGTTTTCACAATGGTAAAGTAAGGGTAACGGTATTACATAATTTTCTAGTGAGGGTAAGAGTATTACATACTATTTCTAATACTGTTTAATTGTGTTAACAATATTTGGCAGGGCTCCTGTAAGGATTAACTGAGGTCATGTGGATGGGACATAAACAGGGCCTGGTGCTTGGTGAAGACCATGTATGAGGTTGAGAATATTATTCTCTGTGCCTCTTCAATCCAGAACATACAAATACTCAAGTACATATATCATTCAATTGCTCATTTTTACAGGTCTGCCATCTCTAACTATGCTGAAAGTTCCTGCTCAGTTTCCCAAGCAGCCCTGGTATCTTAGCTGATAAGCCACTTGATCTGTAACTCTGGAGCTCTGGCAGGGAGTGGGGGGCAGGCAGAGTCACAATTAGTGACTCAGCTCTGGAATAGTGAATGAAAATAACAATAATTATCATTTGTTCAAAGCTTCTTCTATTGCAGTCACTGTTGTAAATGCCTTGCCTGTCTGATCGGCTGAGAGTCTCAGCCAAACCCTCAAGCCAGCACGTTACATGCTGTCTCTGCTTGATGGAGGAAGGACTCAAACACAAATAGGTGACACAACTTTGCCAAGGTCACAAAGCAGGAGGAAAGCAAAACTGAGCTCACTCTCCTTTAGTCAATTCCTGCTCATTGTGACCCCACAGGAGCCCTGGGGATGTAGTGGCTAAGCATTCATCTTCGATTCCACAGTTGGCAGTTCAAAACCACCAGCAACTCCATGGGAGAAAGATTGGGCTTAAACAGTTACAGTCTCGGAGACCCATGGGGCAGAGGGGTCACTGTGAGTCAGCATGGGCTCAGGGGCAGAGAGTTTTCTTTCTTTTTTTTTT